AAAAAAAAATTATTTTATTTTTATAAATATTTTGTAAAGTCGTATAATCCACAGGCTAGTCACTCTAATCGTGCTAGAACTACTGACAACCTAAGAGTGTCGGAGGCAACGATCCCACAAAGAATCGGCGAATAGTATCATGGATCCTTTCATCTCCCTTATTGAAGATCCTTGAGGTAGGAGATACTATTCTAATAATCTCACTTCGTATCCCTAGTTTAAGCACAAATAAGCAATGTCATAATCGTCCTTGCCATTTAGACCCTAGACTCATCCTAATCTGATGATCCATATGTGGCTTTAACAAATTTCCCCAATTGCCAGGAGAATTTGAGTGTAATATCCAAGCTCAAATCCCGATGCACTGGGTTTTACTGTAGGTCAAGTCATTGAGGAAATTTCACTGTTGATTTAATTAAGGAAGCATGGACTATGTCTCGGTGCGTTTTCATGTCTAGTGTCTTAATCAGTTTGTGAATCAGGGTTAACTGTCAAATTTCGTTGTTTATTCGAAAATTAGGTAGATGAACGTTCACTTAAGGTGTGTTACTAAAATCTAGGAAGTTTATACTGAAAAATAGGTGGATGGACTCTCACCAAGGGTATGCTCCTAAAATCTAGGAACCCTATGCTGAAAATTAGGTGGATGGACTCTCACCTAGGGTGTGCTCCTAAAATCTAGGAAGACCATGTTGAGGATTAGGTGGATGGACTCTCACATAGGGTGTGCTCCTAAAATTTAGGAAGCATATACTGAGAATTAGGTAGATGAGCTCTCACCTAGGGCGTGCTTCTAAAATCTAGGAGGCCTACACTGAGAATTAGATAGATGAGTTCTCACTTAGGGCGTGCTCCTAAAATCTAGGAAGTCTACACTTTAACTTGTGCTTAAAGTGTTCTACCCTCAATTAAGTGTTCTCCAACTAATCCTCAAATATTTCTAAGTGTCTTTCAAGTAATTAAATCAAAAATTCTCATTTTTTCGACTTAGCCATATAACAAAAGTAACAAAACAAACGAAAAAGAGAAGGTTGACTCACTTCCAAAACTAACAGATCCAATGGGAAATAGCAAGCGAATCAACCTAAAAAAACATTTAAAATCTTATGTAATTAAAGTGACTCTCCAAAGAGTGCTCAAATTTGTCCCAAGACAATCTTTTAATCGACCCAAAAGTCTTCCAATTCAATAGGAAAAGAGAGGTCCAAAAGTCACCAAATAGACTCAGAAAGTGCGGCTCAAAACCTGCGCGATGGACACAAGAAACGTAACCACTAAGCTGTTAGACGGACTCAATAAGTTCAGCCCATAAGCCTTCACACAGCGCTTATACAAGCTTAAATCGCCCCAAACAGCAGCTTTGACGCTTCCTACAGCATTCAACAGCAATCGATGACTCCAAACAACAACCTAGACTCTTCCTACGGCCTATTACAACGATTGGCAACTCCAATTAGCAACCTAGGCTCTTCCTACAGCCTCTTACAGCGATTGGCAACTCCAAACAGCAACTTGGACACTTCCTACAGCTTCCTACAGCAATCGACAACTCCAAACAGCAACTTGGACACTTCCTACAGCTTCCTACAGCGATTGGCAACTCCAAACAGCAACCTAGGCTCTTCCTATAGCCTCCTATAGCGATAGGCGACTCCAAACAGCAACCTAGGCTCTTCCTACAACCTCCTATAGTGATTGGCAACTCCAAACAACAACTTGGACCCTTCCTACAGCCTCCTACAGCGATCGGTGACTCCAAACAGCAACTTAGGCTCTTCCTACAGCCTCCTACAGCGATTGGCAACTCCAAACAGCAACTTGGACCCTTCCCAGAGCTTCCTACAGCGATTGACAACTCCAAACAACAACCTAAGCTCTTCCTACAGCCTCCTACAGCGATTGGCGACTCCAAACAGCAACCTAGGCTCTTCCTACAGCCTCCTACAGCAGTTTTAAGCACTAAACAGTAGTTTTTTATGACCGAACACCACTTGTTCATCACCAAACAGCACTTTAAAGCTTTGGACAGCACTACTAGTATTTTTTTTTGAATACTTTCCAGCAAATTTCAAGTACTTACCAGTACTTTTGACTCTCCAAACAACAAAGTAAAACTCCTCAAAACGGTCCCAAAAGATAATTTAAAAGTCCCCAAATCCCTTTCCAAAACAGCGAATAAAACAGTCCCAAAGAAGTGAATGAATTCTAAGTATGAAAAAATATCCTTCATAAAAAAAAAAAACAGAGGTACTTATTTTGTAAAATTAAGGATTTGGGTGGTGTAGATGTAAGGTTTAAGTTCTGAGTATGCAGAAAATATAAACATTGTATGGTATGCATATAAGAATTGACACCACTGTGTTAGATATGCGAATACATGGCGATTGAGTGATACGTCTGTAAAAAAAATAAATAAATAAATAAACTTTAGGCGTTAGGCATGTAAATACCTATAAATTGGGTGGTCATAATGATTGGTGTTAACCACAAGCAAGGTTCATTTTCACAACACGACAATTTTAATCCTTTAACACATTTACGAGCACCTCACGCAAGTGCTATGCATTTACATCCCTGACACCCAAAATTTAGTATCAATTTCATAAACATATGCATGAAGGGGTGTACTCAACATAAAATAATTTCAAATAGAGTCACTGTAAATAATGAAATCAGATTGATCTCAAGGTTTAATTCATGAAAATTTTGTTAATTTACTTTTGTTAATTTACTTAAGTTAATTTACTTAAACAATTAGCAGCATAAATACATGGAAAATTTGCGTACATGTCATATCTAACATCCAAATTCATGAAAATTTTGATAGATATCACTCAATCCTTATATTCTAACATATCTAACATCCAAATTTCCATCCCAATCAAAAAGAGCAGAAAACCTCACAATTCCATTCCATAAATACACCACCAAATTTTTAATCAGATAAAAGAAAAAGGTTACAAAGGAAATCATTTACCTTAAGAAGAGGAGCTGCAGCACTTTCGGCTAAGGTCGTTTGGTGTGAGAGAGTGTCGGTACAGAGGAGTCGATCGTGAGAAGGAGGCGAGGAAGAAGCAGGCGACTGATTCTGGAGTAGAGGGAAGAGGTGAGGGCTTCGGAGTTCGCAGAGAGGAACGAGGTTTTCTCTCGAGCGAGGAAGAGGCGAGCAGGTGATTCGGCGTGGAAGGCGGGATCAAGCAGAGAGCGGGCTTCTTCAATGCAGGGAAGAGGCGAGCAGACGAGGGCGTTGAGCGGGGTCTGTGGCTTCGGTGCAGGAGACGGGATCGAGCAGAGAGCGGGAATGCTCTGCGGCTTCGGTGCGGGAGACGGGATCGAGCAAAGAGAGCGAAGAATGATCGAATGAGGAATCCTTTTCAGGGAATATACTGGGCTAATTTGTATAGCCGAAGATGAGCGAGCCGTTACCTGAGAGCTTTGGCAGGTAATTGAATAGTTTCCTTGCGCAGAGGAGGCTTAATTGGAAAATAATAACACAGGATTATTTTCAATTAATATGAGACTTAAATATTTTATTTGAAATTTAAAATTTAAATTTCAAATTCAGGTGAGCTGGTGCCTAGCCCATGTTAAGCCCGGATCGAACCCGAGTTGAGCCCGGACCAGCACACCTCTAATTAAAAAAGAATGTGCATTGATATTCGTGCTAATTGCTCGTGTGCGAAACCATAGCAATATGAGTGTCCTTCCTAGCTAAAGTCGACGTTCCGGACGCTTCGGCGTGGTCTGTTTCGTCATCTGGGGTCGTCCGAACAAATTAACCTGTGGGCAAGTCAAATCAAGTCAAAGTTGTGTGTGGTGCAGTGAGTGCGTGAATTGCGGCGTTCCCGAGTATTTGAGTCATGGCGGGTTCACCTATGGCCGTCTGATCCCATGGGAACTCATTTTCGGCCCCTCTACATGTTAGTCTTTAGCCCTTGCAACTAAGCGTCGAGTGTTTGGGACTACTCATGTGAGGTCTACACAAAAAATGAGTCAGGATGTGGCTCGAAGTTTTATGGGAGGTGGGCTCAATTACTAGTCTGCTATGATGGTCAACAAGGGACTCCTAAGGCTAGATTTTGGGTTCTGGGAGTAGGAAACTAAGATCTCACTAAAAATGAGATCAACAGCCCCTCCCCTTGGGAGATCAACTAAGCCCACACCAAAGGTCGATCAACCCTTGCCCATCCCGCTAATCCGGTCAGTTGGTTCAGCCCCTCTAGACCCCGCATCATAAAGCCTTAATTCTACTTAAGCCCTAGCAAAGAATAAACATTCCTATTATTCTTTTGCTGCTTTGGTTATTTCCTTGAATAAATTAGATGGTAATCCCCTCTAGACTAAGATATAAAATTTTCTAAAGCTCCACGCATCTCCTATAGCCCAAGAACTCCCATTGTGATCACATCTATTAACAAGACGGGACGCTAGTCTCACTTAGTGGATTTTAATCAAATTATTTGATTGAACGCCGAGTAGCCTTTTAATCAATTTGGAATGGTTCATAATTAAATAGCTTAAAAATAAGTAAGTTGAATAACTAAACCGAAATTAGAAACCAAACGTAATCTACAAGTGACCAGCTTATTTCTGATCCTTTAAAATCACCATCCTAGATCCTTTAATAACCTCAGGAAGCACGACATTGTCTGTTGGTGCAGTTAAATATAATATTGAGAAATTCGAACAAGTAAAAATGCCAAAAATTAAACTATTATTTGTCAAGCATTCCTGAAGTTTGACTTCATTAAAAAAAATCACATAAAAATAAATAACTTGTTCAGTGGTCAATAATTTTAAATAATAAATTTTCATAATTCAATTAAACTATTTTGCTGTTCTGGATATTTATTTAGATCTTTTGGCTCTCACCACAATGCTGGACAATGTAACCCGCAAAAACGAGATGGTAAAGGTAGTGATATCAGGAAAAATGAAATTCACTCTGCACTTATAGGACTATAAAATTTCTGACTTGAGTATTTAGATACAGGTATCACCTTGCTAAGGCAGCTGGATCCCATGATGATGGAACAGACTCTTTGACATGATCTCTTAGTTCAATGTGAGATTTTGCAAGAGCAACCGTGTAAAGGGATATAAACCATCCATCAAATGCCAGAGCTTTGGTATTTGCAGCATCCTTCTGCCAACTATTTGAAAATTCGAACATATGATTGAACAAGCCAGAAGGAATTTTACCAGAGAGAGAAAGCTCCTGATTAAATTGCTCCGACATCTGAATAAGAATGCAAGTGAAATTTCAAATGCTTATTGATATAGCAATAATACCACAAAATGATTGAATAAGTGAAACCTACCAAGGAAAAAAAAACAGAATAATATCGCACCAAACATGCAAATCTGAAGGAGTTCCCAAGATTAAGAAGTAAAAAATATTAACAGAAAGTAGTCATAATAAAAGCTACAATTAAGCAAAGCCTAATAATATTTTTCATACAGTTTCCACAACAATTAAATCATCATCATCATCATAGCTTCATTATATGCCTTATGAGAAAAGTGTCAAAATGATTTCCTAACTTTTTGTTGGAAGTCATTTTAGTCCTAGAGTCCATAAATTTGTCAACTTCGTCCCAAGCTCTTTTAAAGATGGCTAAAAATGTCCTCGTTGGGGTCTATTTCAACCGACATCAAAAATAGTATGGGACTAATTTAACACTTTTATAAATACTAAAATTAAAATGGCCCCGTATAAATAATCAAGGGACTATTTTGGCACTTTACTCAATGACTTATCCCAAATAATTGGGGTTGGCTTTATAAATTCCCATCCTCCATTCAAAATTACTTCAATGGTTTATTAAATAAAAGCATATTGAAATTACTTCTATGATTTAAATAAAAGTAGTACCTGTCCACCGCACAACTCTTCCCCGAATAATAATGTCAAATTAGTATCAAAAGCCTCTTTATGGCATTCGTTTGGAGACATGCATAGATTTTATATTGGAACTTCTTTCTGTTCATTTTTTTCACAAGCACGGCACAAAATTTCTGCTTTCCATCTAATCATTTTACTTTCAGATTCATTTTTTTCCAACCAAACAGCCAATATAGGTACTGTCTGCATAGCAATCAACATGGACACGTAAAACTTGAGTGCAGTACATTTGAGAAGGACTTTAACAAGAATATTTAGCAATTACCAACTTCATCTAGAATTGTGATATATATTTGGCAATTCTAAATTTCCTAGAACCAAATTCTGCAGAAATAGACATTTCATTTAAAAAAAAACAAACTTAAAAAACAAATTCTAGGATAAGTGCCGTTCAACATGAAGGCCAATAAAAATGGATGAAAAAAAAATTCTCAATCTCATTTCGTTTGTGCTTGGTGTTACATAATATTCAAGCTTCTATGGGTGTGAAGGCAGAAACTGCTTTGGCTTTTATAGCAGTGGCAACAATAGAAGCCTATCCTCAACAACTGAAAATATATGTAAACATGTTACTGCAAAACATTTTTTTGTCCTTGTAAAGAACATGAAAATTTACAATTTAATGGTTTCACCGGACCACAAATGTGCACAAAAATTTAGTTACCATATATTTGTAATGCTAACTATGCATGTTGTCTCTATTGACTATATATTTGGAATGCAGATAATGTATGCCATTCAACTTCTAAAAGTAAAATACACATTTTCATGCATAGATTTTTAAAACAAATGTATTATTAATGTGCATATCAAACTTTTAGGCATTAGATATGTAAATGCAAAAGAATTGTATGGTATGTATGTAAATTTCCCTATTATTTTTATTAAATAGTTCCCTTTTTTCCTCTTTTTTAGAATTTTTTTATTTATTTTGGGAATATGTATTGGTATTCCCGAAATAAAATAGGTGGATGAGTGGCTTTACACACAGATAAAATGTGAAACAAATATATCCATGAAAGAGTTGGTGTAGCTCTAATGGTACACAAGGTTAGAGAGAGCCAACTTAGATGGTTTGGTCACATTAAACATCGACTATTTGATGATCCAGTTAAGAGAGCGGATGTTTCAGATTCAACCTATTTTAAGAAAGTTAAAGGTAGACCTAAAAATAATTGGGCATGTTATATAAAAATGATCTTAATTTATTATAATAAAATAAAAATATAGAACTTAATAGGACACAATAAAGAAAAAGGAATCATGTAGCCAACCCACTTAGTGGAATAAAGACTTGTTTTTCGTTATTGTTGCAGTTGGGAATATGTGTGTATTATTTTTAGCACTATTTATCAAAATAATAATGAGGATAGATTCGGGGCATTCTTTAATTATTTCAAATTTATTTTGAATAAATTTAGATCAAATTTGGATTAATACAAGTAATATTATTCAATTAGTCATGATTATCATTTTGTAAATTCGAGCTTAAAAGTGACATGTTACCTTATACCTAATATTCTATTAGCCAGATGGAATTCCTTGTGGCATCATTCTTGGCCTTCTTGCATAGTTAGCCTCGAGACATTCTTGAATTATTCCATATGTGTTAACTTATTTAAGATAAATTTAGATCAAATTTGAATTAATCCAAGTAAATATTATTCAATTAGTCATTATTATTATTTTCAAAATTTGAGCTTAAAAGTGACATGTTAACTTGCAAGTGATATTCTAATAGCCGGATGGGAGATCATGGCATGTTTTTTATGTTATTGTGGTAGCCATTCAGTCCTTTTCTCTAATCCACCACTTAGTTTATTTTTCTTTTTACATTCAAGAGATAGGACATCTAGTAACAAGTACATTTCTTTAATTATATAATCTAAATTTCTCCTTCAACTTCCACTTGCAACTTCAGAGCCTTTTTTATTTCCACTACTAAATGTGTATGGTGTTAACTTTGGATAATAATATGCTCCCAAATGCATGATTCTCTGCATATTATTTGTGTGTCGAGTTAAGCTGATTTAACACTTAAAATGATTAACTAGAAGCTTATCTAACATGATTATCCAGGTAAATTTGTGTATATTGTGTTAAGCTGGACAAATTTTATAGTTTATTAGAACAACCTCACTTGAAAAAGTTATATATATATATATATATATATCATGGCATTTTTTTTATATTATCGAGATAGCCATCCAGTCCTTTTCTCTAATCTCCCACTTAGTTTATTTTTCTTTTTAAATTCAAGAGATAAGACATCTAGTAACAAGTACGTTTCTTTATTTATATGATCTAAATTTCTCATCTTCCACTTGCAACTTTAGAGCCATTTTTATTTTCACTTCTAAATGTGTATGGTGTTAACTTTGGATAATAATATGCTCCCAAATGCATGATTCTCTACATATTATTTGTGCGTCGAGTTAAGCTGATTTAACACTTAAAATGATTAACTAGAAGCTTATCTAACATGATTATCCAGGTAAATTTGTGTGTATTGTGTTAAGCTGGATACATTGATTATGATCATTGTGTTAAGCTGGATACATTGCTTATGATCATATTGAGTTCTTCCTTGAAGTTCTATTTACAGTAATCTATTTCTGCTAAATTATCTCATGGTTGCTATCAATCTCTAGGTATGAAGTTAACTAAGAGAAAGGAAGAGAGTGAGTATGGAAGAGGAGTTAGTCAAACGTAGGCCGAATGGGCAATTGAATCATATGCAAGTTAACTCATCATTCCCCATCACAACTCAATACTATCTAGTTTGCAAGTTGTTACATGTACAAACTTGATCACGACTCAAAACACCTTTGAAGCAAGTTAACCATCAAAGAAGGATTACTATACAAGGAGGCTCAGCATGGTATGGATGATGATAATTAGATGTAACAGGCTAGCAAAGTACATATCTAAAGTAGTTAAAAACTTTGGAGTCATTACGATGCCTCTCATTTTGCAGTGGTAATTGGCCATGCACCTAGATAAGCCAATTTCATTAAGGAATACACAATATGCTACATATCAAAGACTCTAACCAAAAGCAAGGACGTTATACCCCTTTGATGGTTTCGACATGACCTTGGGATGACATCTATATGGATTTCTTTGGAGTATTACCAACAGTTTATATAGTTCATAATATTTGAATGAACTGGACAAGTACTCCTAGATGATTGTTCTCGTACTCACGGTGTACAAACAAATTGTCATTAGCAAAGAAACAAAGTGCCTCTTCTTCCATCATATATTGGTCCATTTTGGGACCTCCAAGTCAATCATATCCAATCAAGGCTCTCCATGATGATTATTCTCACTTCATAGGCAACTTTTGGAAGTCATTATGGGCCACGATGGACATCACTTTAAAGACACGTATAACCTTCCATCCGCAAATCTATGGTTTAAAAAAGTCGGTAATTATAGTAGCATGCTTGCAAAAAACATTTAATTCCCCCAATTCAGAAGACTTGGGATAAAGCCTGCTTCCCATACATTCAATTTTCATCAATCTTATGTTACATAATTCCATGAATTGAGCTCCATATTTGGGATACCTACCTCAAAGTTCATTTGACATGGATTACACCATCAAACCAACATCATCAAATCAAAAATTAGATGAGGATCACAAAAGACACCAAAGGTTATTGAAAGGAATCCAAAAAAAATCATGAAGTGTAAAAGCATCCCCAAGTTTCAACAATCTGTAAAATTGGCATAATAATCATCAAATTGAAGATGAGAACAAAAAGGAGATCTTATTGGACTTCACATTTAAGTAATGTCTTGAAAGTGAAGGTTTCACTTAACATGGTAATTATATTATCTGCCTAATTTTATTTTGAATTTAAACTCTAAAATCAAGTTGTCACTTTTTGGGTTCATGCATGCTATTTATTATTGTTGTGAGGTTAAGCGACTTGCTCAAATATCTCTCACACAAGACGGCTCGAACCATTCTTGTTCTCTGCTGCTTGAGGTTTCTTATTTAGGTGTGGTTTAGATATCTCAAATGGATTTAGCCATCCAAGAGACAAGTGTCCCAAGTTCTCCCAAAAAACAAAAAATTCATCTCTTCAAGTACCCAAATTGCTTGTTGGTCAATAGCAGATCAAATTTTAAGAACCCCAAATAGTTTTAGATAACAAATGGCTGTAAAATATGGTGTTCCATCAAACAAACAAGCCATTGTATCATTACAACACAATACAGAATTAATGTGAGTTTTATGTAGCTGAAAAAGGAGAAAATGTGATTCTTTAAAACATTATCAACCTCCAAATAAAAGCTTCAAAGTCAAAACCAGATTCAAAATAAGAGCACCAAACCAGTTAAACATAAACTTAATAAACAAGTAAAAAATAGACAGATCTTACATATCAGAATGCTTTTGCATTGAAAACAAGAAGTTCAATGACCAGACTTTCAATGGAGCCCGATATTTTGAAATGAGAATATCATCATCAAAATGTATTAGCCTCACAAATATAAAGTTAGCGGCATGACAATGACGGCTTATTTGTATATGAGATTTTTTTAAAAAGCCAATAAGAAATTAGAAAGTGGGAAGAGACGAAAACAAAATGAGAACATCACCTGTTGAAAAGAGAGAACATCGGATCTGAATCGCATCCTTTCACCTTTATCGCACTTGATGGCCTTGGGAACATTGGGTACAGTTATCCCACCAGGGAGGACAATATCCTGAGTCTCATCCCAATCAAGGTCGATCAAACAAGGAACAGGTGACTCCCTCTTGCAGTATTTCAACCGAATATCATCTGCAATATCGTACCCAAGCCCAATAGATGAAATTGCAAATTCAGCAGCCTTCTGCGGTGCAACCTTCAGTGCCATTTAATCATTCCGTTTAATAATCTTCCCAAATATAAATCCACTGCAAGTGCCGACCCAGCTCCAACGCAAACCCTTGACCAAAAACAAATGTAAGTTTCCCCACTGGCTTCCAACACTGCCAAAATACTGGCAGCTACAGCAACCAGCTACTACACAAAATCAAGGTCCTCTTCTTGGTACCTGATCAATGCAACCACCAGATAAGCCCCCAAAGGGTACAGAACGAGTAACAGCAACTTAAAAACAACAGAGATCATAACCCTAACTACATAATCACACTAAAACAACCTCTTAAAAAAACCAAAACCTCACAGCCCGACCAGCAGAAAAATCGCAATAAAAACGCAATAATTGCAGCGGAAAAAAAATTATAAAAAAATAAAACAGTCCATCCAGGCCGAAAGTAGCTCAGACGTTCAAGCACGGATGTGAGCTGTCAGCGGCTCGATCAGTCAAAAAGGCACCGCAAATCCTCCGTGACCAAATTAAAATAGAAAACAAGATGGAGTCTTACGTCTTCAGCTCCATATCGACACATTTCCAGGGAACAAAGGCGACCAAAACCATTTTCAGCGGAGTGCGAGCCGCGACAACCCTAGATTCTTTGCAGCATCATTTATCTTGCCGGAACAGCCCCGCAGATTTCAGCGTCTTCTCTCTCACTCCCTCCCGCTCGTCGCTCGTGCGTGTGTTCTTTTTGTCTCATTTTAGCGGCGATTATTATTCCCAGAGTTATTTTTATTTTATTTTATGTTATTTCTAAGTATTATGAAATAATTTAAAAATAACTCAAAAATAAACAACGTGAATTATTTTTAAATTATTGAAAATAATCAAAAATAATTTAAAAATAACTCAAGAATAATCATTGTCGCACGTAGAATTACGTCAGGAGTCCGCATAAAAAAATTAGGCCAAATTTGGGAGCATTTACTGCACATGCCACCAACGGTGAACGCGAGAATAAAAGTAGTTTTAACAACACTAATTATATAGCCATAAAATGTTAAGGGTTGTGCAAAATTTGAAAATAATATATTAAAATCTAATTTAATAATTTTTTTCTATCTTCTTAATTAATGTCTAAATTAATAAATTTTATTCTATTTTCTTCATTAATACTTTTAATTGATTATAAATCTTTGTAGCCTTGCAGTCAATTAATTTTTTTAAAAATACTACTAAGCTAAATTGATGAGTAGTATTTCTAGCCAAAACGAGCCGAACACGAACAAAAATTTTTTTTGTTCTGCTCGTTAACTTAGCGAATGAGCCGAATACGAGACTCTTAACAAACCAAACATGAGTTGTTCTCGAACAACAAACAGTTTTGATAGCTCTAAATACCACCAAATTCTTATGTAATTACACCCAAATATCTAAAGTTCACTTTTTACACTTATGCTGCACCAATTTTTCTTATAAAACCAAAAAATAATGTCATTTTTATTTAAGAAAAAAAAAGTTGAAATACACTTAGGCCCCATTTGGGATAGCTTAAAAGTGCGGCGGTGTTTTTGAAAACGCCACCTTACCTTTTGGATCATGTGTTTGCTCGGCGTATTTCAAAACAATGTTTCACTGTTTATGTTAAACAGTGAACGCGGGGCATAAGGTGTGTATCGCTTTTGCTGACCCCTTTTTTCCCTCACTGGCCTCGCTCATCACTACCCCTGGATCGTCGCACTAGCTACCGAGAAGACGATCATTTATGGTAAAAAAAATTCGTGCTCCATTCTCTCCTCCCTCTTCTTCTTCCTCCCTCGTCTCATCTTCTCTCCCCTCTCTCCTCCTTCATTGATCTGTGACAATGTTATGATATTTTGTGCTTTGTGGTTACGGTTGGTGTTCTGCATCTATGCAGTTTTATGTTGGGGTTGGATCCACAAACCGAAATAATGTTTATGTATTTTTATAAGCCAGAAGCACTTGGTTTTCATTTTTATGCCTTTCCCTAAACTCTGCATCTACTCGGTTTGATGGTTACAGTTAGAAACACTTGGTTTTTTTATTTTTACATCTGCTCCTCTATTTTATTTGTTTTAAATGTCAGAAAAAGTTGGTTATTTGCAGTTTCTAGTTGAAGATGAAAAGGCGTTCTAGATGCGTTCTGGGAATTGGAGAGAGGTACTTGTTGAATGATGATCTTGATGCGTTTGACAATTTGAGAGATTAGGTACTTGATGCTTTTAATACCACAAATAGTTTCTTATAAGCCTGTTGAAGCTTGGTACTTGTTGGAAAAAAAAACACAGTTTTCACTTTGATTTGTCCGTAGCATTCTAGTGTACATTAATAGATTCATATGGCAACACACATCCAATGTTTATGGATGAGGGTTAAGTGGTCTTATGTCTAGGTCAAGACAAAGATCTGGTTAAGAACATTATTATAGCAGATAGTCATATGAAAACACATGATAACTTTTTTTTTTTTTTTTTTTTTACTCATCGGATGTCTTATGTTGTTGTTAATGTTAGTTAAATATATAGGAAGAGTATCAATCCAAACAGAAACTTATAGATTGCGTAACAAATGTGCATGATGATCATCATTTCATGCACTCTTCTTTCACAAAATGGAGTAAGATTTGATACTTGTTGGTTTAGTACCCTTATACGTTTTCATAGAAGAAACCTTCATTTTGAAGATGCTGAATATTTACGGTGGTGGAAACTCCATTGAAGAAACCTTCATTTCATTAACTTCATAAACATTCATATTGGTCATTTTTTATTTCTATAGATTTTTCTTTGATGTTGCAGCTAACAATGCATCATTTTTCAGTTTTAACCTACATGCCATCTTTCCTATGCATAAAAGGTATATTTTTTTTATTACATGCATGTTATCTTACCATCCCTTTGTCTCACAGTAAAAAATGAGTAAAGCTAAAGAGGTCGGATCATCGGTAATGTGGGATAGAGATGTCACTAACATACATGCCCATAATTTTTGTTTTTTTTGTGTCTAGAATTTTTCTTCTAAGAATTCTTGAATCTTCATTTTTATCTCCCTTTTAAGATTGCATTAAGAATGTTGGTAAAATTGTAAATATCAAATTTTTGGCGACATATATGTGTCAAGTGACTCTGAAGTAGGTTAATTAGTTCTAAAATAGCAAAATGGTAGATATTGTTCTTTTTTTAGAGCAATACCAATTTTACGTGTCAGATTGTTCATTAACTAATAAAATCTGCAAATCATCTGTTTACAAAAACGCACAAATCAAACAGCTAGCAACTTATCTAAAACAGGGGCAGGTTTATCATTTATTTATAATTAAACAGCCAGTCAGCCTATCCGGATCAGTTGATCATCAACAAATTATCAAGATAAGCTGCTTATCAGCATAAGCTGGATAAGCTGCAACTGACCCAAACAGACCCTTATTCATGCATAGATAAGGTAGGTATGTTTGTTAGATATTAGAAATGTAAATACATTGGAATTGAGTGGTATGTATGTAAAGTTTTTTTTTTTCAATTTGGGGGCATTTATATAAATACCACCTAATTTCTATCTATTTATATATTTAATATCTAGATTTATTTTTTTTATATTTGTACTCCTAAATATTTCATGTCCGGTGAGAAAAAGAATCATTATTTTAATTTTAAAAATTAAATACATATTTTTGATCATGTAAATGTGGTGTCTTAAATAGAATTTAAAAATGGGGGCGGAATTAAAATAAATTAAACTTAATTTTTTTCCTAAATAAAATAAATTAATAGTTGAAATTAAATGAAAAAATGTTGATAATAATTTAAAGTGAGAAAATACATTTTTTTTAATCTAGTTATTATGAATAAACGTTTTGAATTGTATTGGGCACTTCTTCATAGTTCGGTCTGTCAAAGAAATTTGTTGTTCGCGAACAGTTCATGCTCGACTCACTAAGTAACTTGTGCTTAGTTTCGTCATTATGCAGACTAGTCAAATAAAAATAAAATTTGTAGCTAAATTTATAAACGAACCGAACACAAATAAAGATCTGTTCGTTTGTACTCGGCTCTATTTGGCTCAACTTAATTAAATAATAAATAAACAATATTAGTATAATATTTTATTTATTAAATTTTTATATTCTATTTAAAAAATATGTTTAATTAGTTTTTTTTTTTAATTTTAGATAAGGTTGTAATTGAAAAAAAAAAAATTATATTTGCATGAAAAACCTTCCGCGATCCCTCTCCCTCATTTTAATCCCAAATCGGAAATACTAAAAAGTAAACTAATGTTTGCATGAAGGACTGTGAACATGTTATTCATGAGTTCTTTCCAACAGAAAAAGAAAACAAACAGATAAATGACTCACATTGCATTATCATTGATTTTACATTGAAACACATTGCAATATCATTATTAATATAAAATTATGTTATGAATGACTCACAATAAATTCATCTTCACATTTGACGGAAATATCAAATTGTTGAGAAATTCTAAAAGTTTGATTCATATTATTGATAATTTGCTAATAAGCAACTGATTCAGATAAGTGCTTTGGATAAGTTGGCAGTCCCAGTCTTTTTGGTTTGTGCGTATGGAAACAACTGATCTACAGTTATTTCTGGATAAATTATCATTTTGCCTAATGACGTTTACGACGGAACTGTCATAGTTATAATAAATCTGCTAATATTTGTTATTATTTTTTTAGTGCAATCAATATTTATTATAATACTACAAATTTAAACTTAATATTAATAATACGTAAACTATTTATAGATATAATTTTTAAATTATTTTATACTTTAAGAGTTTAGTACAGTAATTAATACGAATATAGTACAACTATTATGTTTTAATACATATTCAGCAAAGTTAAAATCAATTGTTATTATATATAAATTAGCACCATGTTAAATAAATCTAATTGTATATTAATCTATTAAATCTATATTACTAAATACTTATTTTGTATTTAACATTTACTAATTTAAAATTAATGTTTTTTTTATAAACCACGCGAATAACACTGCAAATCAACGATTGACAAAAGTCGCAAATAATACCATGAATAACAAAGTAATAACATCTGAAAACAACTACTATAACACCGGGAATCAACAGACGCACGACCGCGCAAATAATGTTGTGAATAACAACTTGAATAACACTGTGAATAACACAGGACGTGCGACCATGTGAATAATACCGTGAATTACATCGGACGCACGATCGCAGGGAGAGCAAAGCCATAAACAATTTTCTCCGTATGCAGGATGAGGGGTCGAACCCGCGAGCGGCATGCAATACAAAAGAAAAATAGTTTATCTCGCAACACAGCGCAGACGAAGAAAACAAACACCAATGTCGACGTTTTGAAAACACCCCGCGGCTAATCGACGACGCCAAACGGGCCCTGAATTTTCAAGTTTTGTTTTTTTTATTTATTTATGAAGTTTTCAAGATAAAATCTTTTTGCAAGTTGAGAAATATCCTCAATTTTGAATGATCGCATGCATCTTGAAGATTTTATGTAGAATTGAAAATTAATAATTCTAACATGTGTTTTACATAAATTTCATGTTTTTCATCTTCTGTAATTGTGTGTTTGATGTAGCAATGAAATTTATAATGATGTTTTACTCGAATTATAATTTTTTTGTATCGAGAGCGTCATCAACCTCCATTTGATTATATTTTTCACTTATCTTTCCTTATTTTGTAACAATACCAAAAACTTGATCCTG